TCCGTATAGAGCCACGAAGCGTGTGAGGGGTGTGCCGAATCGGGTGCGGGTGCGCCATGCGAACTGCGCCGCTAGGGCCTTGGGTGGAGATCCCGGTGGGTCGAGGAAAAGTGTGAGGGGTTGGCCAGATCGGGTGCGTCTACGCCATGCGGACTGTGCCGCTGAGGCCTTCTGTGGAGCCATGTGGACTGTGCCACCGGGGCCTTCGGCGGAGTTTCTATGGGACCACGAAGAGAGTGAAGGTGTCAAGGAATCGCGTGCGGGTACGCCACGCGGACAGTGCCGTTGGGGCGCGAGGGGTGTGCCCAATCGGGAACGGGTACGCCACGCGGACTGTGCCATTGGGTCCTTCGGCGGAGGTTTTATGGGGCCACGAAGTGTGTGAAGGGTGTGCCGAATCGCGTGCGGGTGCGCCATGCGGACGGTGCCATTGGGGCCTTCAGTGGAGCTCCTATGGTGCCACGACAGGTGTGATGGGTGTGCCGAATCTGGTGCGGGCACGCCATGCGGACTGTGCCGCTGGGACCTTCGGTGGAACTTCCGATGTGGCCTCGAAACGTGTGAGGGGTGTGCCGAACCAGGGGCGTGTACGCCATGCGGACTGTGCCATTGGGTCGTTCGGCGGAACTCCATATGGGGCCTCGAAACGTGCGAGGGGTGTGCCGATTCGGGTGCGGGTGTGCCACTGGGGCCGAGAGTCGATCTCACTATGGGTCCACGAACCGTGTAAGAGGTGTGCCGACACAGAACCATGCGGAGGGCAGAAAAGCAAGGAGGCGAGGAGGGGGATAAAGGGGAGAGGAGCGGAGAGGGACGCGGAGCGCTGCCTCAGGCAAGCGAGGTCGCAAGACCACAGGCAGGTCGAGCAAAACACTGATCCTGCTGCTCGTCCTGGAGAGGCCTCACCGCCACCGCCCGACTCACCTCTTACGTTGCATCTTCGGGGGACCCCGCCTGTCCCCAAAATTGGTGTCTTTTTTGTGCCTAGCGCGGGCTCGATGTGGACTCGACGCGGATTTGGCGTGGATTCGACGCGGATTCGACACGGATTCGACACGGATCCGACGAGTCCGAGATTGACACGACACGGATACGACGCGGACAGGGCCGCGACAGGACAGACAAGGTCCCCCGGGAATGCAACAGAACACCTCGAGATCTGGGCCACCATGCACCCCAAGAGGGCTCCATCCGGGCCCGGCGGCATCCGCACCACCTGCTGTGTCCCCTGCCCCGGGGTGCGCTCCGGGCAGCCGCGCCTCGCCGCCACCGCCACCGTCCTGGAGAGCCCTCACCGCCACCGCCGGACTCACCTCGAGATCTGGGCCACGATGCACCCCAAGAGGGCTCCATCCGGGCGCGGCGGCGTCCGCACCACCTGCTGTGCCCCCCGCCCCGGGGTGCGCTCTACGGGCAGACCCGCGCCTCGCCGAGGGCGCCCTGGAGGTGCCCGGAGCGTCCCGCGGAGGGCCGCCGCGAGGCCCCCAGGGAAACCTGGCATCGCTCGGACGTGTGCATTGTTTTGCTCAGGCGAGGACCACCGAGGAACAGCCTCGAGCGCGTGGCGAAAGAAACACAAATCGCGCACGGGAGCGAAAAAGGCACAGGGGCGTGTGCATGTTTTCTTAGGCGAGGGCCACCGAGGAGCAGCCTCGAGCACGTGGCGGAACAACAACAAAAAAAAACGCGCACGGAACCGCCAAAAACACAGGGGATGGGCGTCCGAGCGACAGCGCTCGGACGTGTGCATGCTTTCTCAGGCGAGGACCGCCGAGGAGCAGCCTCGAGCGCGCGTCGCGGAAAAAAAAAACGTGCACGGGACCGAAAGAACAAGGCACAGGGGCGTGTGCATGTTTTCTTAGGCGAGGACCACCGAGGAGCAGCCTTGATCGCGTCGCGGAAAAAAAAAAGCCGCGCACGGGACCGAAAGAACAAGCACAGGGGCGCGCGCATGTTCTCTCAGGCGAGGACCACCGAGGAGCAGCCTCGATCGCGTGGCGAAAAAAATGAAGCCGCGCACGGGACCGAAAGAAAAAACACAGGGGATGGGCGTCCGAGCGACAGCGCTCGGACGTGTGCATGCTTTCTCAGGCGAGGACCGCCGAGGAGCAGCCTCGAGCGCGCGTCGCGAAAAAAAAAAACGTGCACGGGACCGAAAGAAAAAGGCACAGGGGCGTGCGCATGTTTTCTTAGGCGAGGACCACCGAGGAGCAGCCTTGATCGCGTCGCGGAAAAAAAAAACCGCGCACGGGACCGAAAGAACAAGCACAGGGGCGTGCGCATGTTCTCTGAGGCGAGGACCACCGAGGAGCAGCCTCGATCGCGTGGCGAAAAAATGAAGCCGCGCACGGGACCGAAAGAAAAAACACAGGGGATGGGCGTCCGAGCGACAGCGCTCGGACGTGTGCATGCTTTCTCAGGCGAGGACCGCCGAGGAGCAGCCTCGAGCGCGCGTCGCGGAAAAAAAAACCGTGCACGGGACCGAAAGAAAAAGGCACAGGGGCGTGTGCATGTTTTCTTAGGCGAGGACCACCGAGGAGCAGCCTTGATCGCGTCGCGGAAAAAAAAAACAAAAAAAAAAAAAAAAAAAAAAAAAAAAACGCGCACGGGACCGAAAGAACAAGCACAGGGGCGTGCGCATGTTCTCTCAGGCGAGGACCACCGAGGAGCAGCCACGATCGCGTGGCGAAAAAATGAAGCCGCGCACGGGACCGAAAGAAAAAAAACACAGGGGATGGGCGTCCGAGCGACAGCGCTCGGACGTGTGCATGCTTTCTCAGGCGAGGACCGCCGAGGAGCAGCCTCGAGCGCGCGTCGCGAAAAAAAAAAACCGTGCACGGGACCGAAAGAAAAAGGCACAGGGGCGTGCGCATGTGTTCTTAGGCGAGGACCACCGAGGAGCAGCCTTGATCGCGTCGCGAAAAAAAAAAAACGCGCACGGGACCGAAAGAACAAGCACAGGGGCGTGCGCATGTTCTCTCAGGCGAGGACCACCGAGGAGCAGCCTCGATCGCGTGGCGAAAAAATGAAGCCGCGCACGGGACCGAAAGAAAAAGCACAGGGGATGGGCGTCCGAGCGACAGCGCTCGGACGTGCGCATGCTTTCTCAGGCGAGGACCGCCGAGGAGCAGCCTCGAGCGCGCGTCGCGGAAAAAAAACCGCGCACGGGACCGAAAGAAAAAGGCACAGGGGCGTGCGCATGTTTTCTTAGGCGAGGACCACCGAGGAACAGCCTCGAGCGCGCGTCGCGGAAAAAAAAAACGCGCACGGGACCGAAAGAAAAAGGCACATGGGCGTGTGCATGTTCTTTCAGGCGAGGACCACCGAGGAGCAGCCTCGAGCGCGCGTCGCGGACAAAAAAAAAAAAAAAAAACGCGCACGGGACCGCAAGAAAAAGGCGCAGGGGAACGGGCGTCCGAGCGACGGCGCGAGGGCGTGGCCGACGCCCGGGCGGCCCGCCGCCGGGGGGGCCCCCGCGGCGCGGCTTGCGCGGTGTTCTCGCGCTTTGCGCGGGGGGCGGGGGGGGGGCGCAGGCCGCGGGCTGGCGCGCCTATCGCAGGCAGGCGGCTGGCGAGGCGCGCCGCCAGGGATGGCCCTGCCAGCGCCGAGGATCCTCAGGACGCGCGAGGCGTCATCGTCGAGGATCTTCTTCTTCTTCGAGGATCGCAGGAGCTGGCCTCCTCGAGGATGGAGGGTCTTCGAGGATCTTCATTGCTTCGTCTTCGTTTTCCTCTTCAGCTTCTTTGCCTGCCGGTGACAGGGCCCCATCTTCGAGGATCGGAGGAGCCGGCATCTCCTCCTCGGCGGAAGGTGGCGGAAGGCCGGCGGAAGTAAACCGAGGCCGCCTCCGCTGGAGGAAGCCGGTGCAGGGGCGGCGGAAGCCAGCGGAAGCAGGAATTCGGCCTACCAAGAGATGGCAAGGTGTTGTGTTCAGGGTTTCCCGAGTCGGCCATGTGTCAGGAGGAAAAGAAACACACAGACACAATTAATCTTCGATTCCCCAGAAAATATGGGAAAATATGGGAAGTGGGGGTGAAGACAGAAACCCAGAAAATATATGAAAATATGGGGAATATTTTTATTTGTGTGTATTCATTTGTGTGTCCTGGGGCCCCTTCAATGTGGTGGCCCAATGTGTGCGTGTACCCCGTGCAGCTCCACCGACCGCACCCATAGCCTTCGACGCCCGTTCTTGGGATCCTATAGGCGGCGGCATTGGAGGCCGGTGCTTCCGGCGTTTGGGCCGCACGCGGTCCGCCTTTTTGGCCCTGCCTCCGGCTCCCTCCTCGCCCTTCTCGTGCTCCTCCTGCCCCTCCTCTTCCTGCTCGCCTCCGTGTCGTGAGGGGGCGAGTCGGGTCCACGTCCAGCCTCGGACGTGTTCCGGGTCCCGTCCAAGGCAGGCCCACATCGGACTCAGAGCGTGCATGACCTGCCCCGCTTTCGCTTCCAGGCAAGACCAAGCCATACCACGCGCCTCCTCGCCAAGTGGCCTGACCAGTACAGGCTGCAATTTGGCATCGTTTGGTCAAAAGCGAGGTAGGTTTGCTTTCCCCCTACGGACGGCGCCCAGCGTCGCGTACTGTCCCGTGGAGCGGACACCACGCGCCGCCCGTGTCGGCCGGCCCTCCTCGCACCGCCGGGCGTCGTAGTTGTTGCAGGGCTCCGGTGGACAAGCACGTGCTGGCGCTAGCACACGCTCTGGAGCTGAGTGGGCCCTGGAAACGACAGGGCCGTTTTTTTACCGGTTCCGTCCTGCCGTTTTCTTGCCGGTTCCGACGCCGTTTTTTTACGGGTTCCGTCGCCGTTTTTTGACCGGTTCGGGCTCGGGTTCCGATCCTGGAGCCGTTTTTTTGCCGTTTCAGGTCGCCGTTTTTTTGCCGTTTCCATGTTCAATGGACATTTTTGGGGAAACGGTGAAAAAACGGCTCTGCCGCTTCCGGGGCCCACAAAGCTCTGGGGGTCATCAGCTTGGGGCACCCCTTTTGCGTGCAGCCACAGAGGAGGTGCAGGCTGGCGAGGGGGCTGGCGAGGGGGCCAAGGAGGGCGCGGGGGCCAAGGAGGGCGCTGTCGAGGGCAACGAGGTGGGGCGCGCGGTCGCCGCGCTCATGCTCTCTGGGCTCGTCGGCGGCAGCGCCGTGTTCGCCATGACGCAGATGGCGGTCCCGCACGTCGCCAGCGCGACGGTCCTGGTGGTCGACAGGGTCGTGGCCATCTTCCTGGCGGTGCTCTGGTTCTCGGCGTTCGACGACATCCTTCAGGAGGTGGTCCCCCCCGGGCATCACTGGTGGCTCCTGGCCATCAAGGTCGTGGTTCTGCTCTGCTCCGCGGTGATAGCGGCGTGGACGCTGCGGCAGAGGTCTTTCGGGCTCGCCGCCTTCTGCGGGGTTGGTGCCCACTTCAGCGCGTTCATGGGCACTCACTTTGCGCTCACTGCGCAGAAGAACCACTTCGTCGTCAGCCCGATACACAGCACGTTCGGATTTCTCGTGATTGCCATGATGTTTGCCATCATGTGCGCCATTTTGTTCGCCATAAAGAAGTATGTGCTTCACGTGAGGGTTGGGAGAAAGTCCCGGGACGAGAGCGTTAACGAATTCATGGACAGGTTTGATGATTTGGAGAACGATGTTGTGGCCATGTCGTTGGCAGCGTATTGGGTCATGGTGATCCGCTTTATCGTTTGCCAGCATTACCCTGAGGAGGGCGAATTGGAGCCTGGAGAGCCACCGCCGCACAATGGGAATCAACGACTGTGGCTTCTGATGTATGCACTTGCCATGCTCATCATCGGAACTGTCGTTGTTCATTTCATTTCGAAGGTCACGATCAGTGGATATGTGCCCAAGCGCGCTGCGGATATTTTCAAAACGTTCATGATCAATTCGTGGGTGTTCGCCTTCATCTTCTGGGCTGAGATGGAATTCTTCGAGCATCCCTTGTGGAGCCTACAGCCCATGATCACCCGTATCACCTTCGCGAGTGTGGTCTCCGCTGCCGCCATGGTCTGCATACTTGCGTTCGCTCCAGGCATCGCTAAGCAGGGCGTGCGAATGGTGCTGCTACAGTCCGCAGCGCTGATGGTGGGTATCGCGTGGGAGCAGGCATTCGACGCAGCCTTGGAGTCGTATTTCGAGCCGTACGAAAACACGCACTGGCTAAAGGGAGCCATGGCCCTGGGCATCGTGACGCTCGTCCTGCCCATCTACGTGATCTACTTCAAGCCGTACAGCCTGAAGGCAGAGATGGACGATAAGTGAGGCCTGGAGAAAATTTCGGGTTCCAGCTGTCGTAGAAGAGACGACTGGAAACACATAACGTTTGGAGCGCGCGAATTTCTTAGATCGGCAATGGGCTCCCCTGGCGGCGCCTCCGGCGCCGCCCGTGTCGGGCTCCGCGCGCCAGGGAGGGGGATCGAGCGCGGATTCAGGAAATCCGCGCGGACCTCCGGAAGCTTATGTTTATACAGTTGTTGTTCTTCTATTGCATGTGTTGTCGCGCGTCTCGCGTTGACCAGCCTCATCCAGACAGGGAGCGTCTCGCTATCACGGAAGAGAAAACGGCGGAGACCCTTTGGAAGCTAGACTCAAGTGGCAGGCCCCCCACTTTTGTTCGCCCGAAGATGTTCGGGATTCCTCCAGGATCCGTCTCTCAGCAATACACATTGGATCATGCTTGGTCGAGCAGACGCATGCGGCAGGACCGGTGGAGGCAGCTGGAACTGCCCAAAGAGGCGAGCTATTGATGTGATGTTATCAGGATGTGCGGTGTCCCCAGTGTACGAGTAGGTGGGCAGGAGGAGACAGAAGAGGAGGGAGGCGGAGGCAAAATTGTATCTTGGTCTGGGCGGTAGCAGTCTCAAGAGCGCGGCCCGAACCAAGGAGTCACCTTGTTCAGCCAGGGTGGACCCAGGCAGGTCGGCCCGAACGAGTCGTTACCGCCGCGTGCTCTCGTGCAAGTGTTATGCTGATGGGCATGATGCAGTAGTGAAGCGGACAGCCCCTCCTAGGAAATCGGTGTCGTCGAGGGGAGGCGAGGCGAAGTTACGCGCGGGACGAAGTTGCGCGAGGACCAGAAAGATGCTGACGCGCGGGACGAAGTCGCGCGAGGACCAGAAAAATGCTGCCTTTGCAGAGGCCCAGGCGCGTCGTATTGTGTACAGTATGCACACCAGGTATAAGACTGGCCTGCCAGGGCCCCCCCCCACTGGGTGTAGTTCTATTACCCGATGGCCCCAGGGAGCCACGGAAGATCTGCGACACCTCAGGACCCTCAGAGATCGACGACGAAAAGCGTGCCCCAAGTTTTCGTATCGCGAGGTGTCACATCGCCCGTGTCTGCTGCAGCACCCCGCGCCGGCGCGGGCCCGCTGGGTCGTCCCAGTGACGACCCGTGGCTGTTCAGTGGATGTCCCGCGATCCCCCGTGCGGTTGTCTAGCGCGGTGGTCTCGTGGTTATCCCCTTCGGTTGTTTATGGGCTGCCCCGTGGAAGTCGCGTGCGGTGGTATAGCGCGGTGGTTTCGTGGTTGTCCCCTGCGGTTGCCTGTGGGTTGTCCCGTGCTTTTTGGCCCTGGAAGTCGCGTGCCCCAGGGTGTTTGTTCGTCGTGCCGCGCGGTCCGCGAGCGCACGAGCGACGTGCGCTTGCGGGGCAGGCAGATGATAGACATACTTGTTTTCCCTGCATATGTATGTGGGGCGTTCCGGAAAAAGGGACTTGCCTCCGAGGATCCAAGGACCTGTCATCTCTTTCGCCGCGGGAGGCGGCGGAAGGTCGGCGGAAAGAGAACGAGGCCGCCTCCACTGGCGGAAGCCGGCGGGAAGGGCGGCGGAAGGTGGCGGAAGAGAAACATGCGCCCGCCAGAGATGAAAACGTGTTTGGGTCCAGGGATTCCAGAGTCGCCCATGTACCGAGGGCACCTAGGACGGACCACCGCCGCCGACGCCTGCCTTCTGGAAGCGCCCATGCGGCCCCAGCGCTGGGCCGAGGTCTGGCCGAGCTGCTCGAGTGTGTGTGTGTATATATATGTTCGTTGTGGGATCCCTTGCGGGAGCGCCTGGAAGAGAAACCGAGAAGGAGGACGAGGGGGGAGGAGGAGGAGGAGGAGGAGGAGGAGGAAAATACAAAGGAGGCCCGTTGGTACGGTGCTGGGATTTTCTCGGGGCTTCCTGAAAGCCTCTTGGGGGCCCCTGAGGGCCTTCTGGGGGCCTCCCTGGGCCTCGAAGGGCCCTCCAGGCTTCCAAGGGAGCCTCTACGGGGCCTCTGGGAATTCTGAGTGGCCTCTTGACGTTACGAGGCCGTCTATGGCGCCTCTCTGGGCAGTCCTGGGGGCCACTTTGGGCGCTCTTGGGTCGTTTTGGAAGTCTGTGGGGCCGTTTCCAGGCCGTCTGTCGGGCCTCTCAGGCCGTCTTGGGGCGATCTTGGGAACCTATGGGACCGTCTTGGAGCGTCAGCAGCAGAAACGACGAGAATAGTAAATCGCTGGAGAACGTGAGGGAAGTCAATGATTTGTGCCTCTCGGAGTTTTGGAGAGCTCTTGGGCTGTGCTGCAGGCCTCCGGGCCGTCTGGAGGGAATTGTGGGCCATCTTGGGCCAACTTGTAGGCTATCTTGGGCATTCTTGGCCGTGCTGGAGGCAGACTTCGTGGGCGTGACGGTCTGTTCGGGTGGCCGGCAGGTCGGGCCGAAGACCTGTAGGAAGAGTTTGGCAAGACCAAACAAATGAAGCGTCTAGCACGCCAAGTATGACGAGCGAACAACTCACACCCATACCCATAGGAGGGTCGAAAGGAGGGGAACTGGCTATGGGTATGGGTGCGAGTTGTCGGACCCTGGGGGAAGCTCCCGTTCGAGCGGGGACCCCCATCCGACAACACGCACCCATAGCATCCTCCGTCCCCCCTATGGGTATGGGTGCGTGTTGTTCGATCGTCAAAGTACCCTTGGAATAAGCACACGGGGTGGCGGTCTGAAAACACCTGCGGCGAACCACCGCCGCCCTTTGCCTTTTGGAAGCGCCCATGCGGCCAAGCGTTGGGCCACGGTCTGGCCAAGCTGTTGTGTCCCCAGCTGTTATGGAACCTCTCGGGTGAACACCTGCGAGGAGGAGCAGGACGAGAACGAGGTCGAGTAGGAGGACGTGGAACAGGATGCCTCTTGAGGCCGTCGTGCTGCCTCCTGGTGACTTGTGGGAGCATCTTGGGGGCCTCTGGGGAGCCTCTTGCAGGCCTCGGGGCTCTTGGGGGTCTCTTGGGGGCCCCTGGGTGGATCTAAAGGGCCTCTTGGTCTTCGGAGGCCGTCTTTGGGGCCTCTGCGGGTAGTCGCGGGCGCACTCTCTTGGGCCGACTTGCGCTTCTTGGGGGTTCCTTGGGCCGTCTCACTGCAACACGGAAGGCAAATCAATGATTTGGGCTTCTGGGGGTCCTTTCCGAGCCCTCTTGTGGCGTCGTGGGAAGCCTCTCTGGCCGTCTGGAGAGCATCGTGGGCCGTCCTGGGGCCAGCTTGGCCGTCTCGGAGGCGTCCTGAAACCGCCGTGCCAGCTGTCTTGGGCCAGCTCGGAGGCCATCTTGGACCGTCTTGGCCGTCTTGGATTGGAGGCCATGTTGGCCCATCTTGCTTACGGTGGGGGCGTTCGCTAAGAACGTGCCAAGGAGGCTTCAGACCCTGGAGGGTTCCTTATCTGATCAGGGCGGCGGTGATATCCATGGCCGATCCAGGACTGGCTTTCCATTGGCTTCCAGACCCTGGATCCCTTACCGAAGGTTTCCTTAACGCCGACATTGGTGCCGGCCGGGGGGGGAGGAAGGCTCGGAGGGTTGTGCTGCGTACTCCGTAGAACACTCCTGCCCCTCCGACTCGGGAGCTCCCGAGCCTTCGGTGGAGGTCGCGGCCTATCTCCCCGATCTCGATCGTGCAGCTCGGGAGGGTCGCATCACTCCGCATAATGTCGTGGCGATTGTGTCGCTCGCTTCGGAGGGGGCGGCGGTGATCGAGGAGATTTCGTGGAGGCCGGCGAGTCTGACTTCGCGGCAACATGGGGTACCAGGCCGACGCGGAGATGTTGCTCGACGCGTTGGGCTTTCCTGGTGGCGTGGCGCACGCTCTGTGGCAGCCCCATGTGCTGTTGGGCGCTGTGGAGCCGAGGCGGCAGGCCCGGCTCCGCCACCGAGCTACGGCCTTGGAACTGGCCCGTCTGGCGGGGGTGCCCTAGCGCTGCTTCCTGCGAGCGTGAGAGGTCTCCATTCGCTAGAGGAAGTGTTCTGCCGCCGCGCGGGCAGCGCGAATGCCCTCACCGCCCCGGCGGCCGTGGTTCGTGCGCACGGGGTCGGGGACCTGGCGCAGGTGCGGGCGAGGGGCTTGGAGGCGCGTGCCGGGGGCCTGGCGCAGGCGACCTGGCGCAGGCGCGAGCCAGGGGCCTGGCGGCGAGAAGTGAGCGGGCGGTGGCGGCGGCGGCCTGCGTGGGCGGCTAGGGCGAGGCCCGCAGAATGAAGCCCCTGCACGCACGGGGATTGGGCCCTCGACGAGAAAAGCAAAAATGCCCTCACTGCTCACTGTCCGTGGCCATCTTGGTTCTGGCCTGGTTCGGACCCCCTGGCGCGTCCGGCGGTGCAAGCATGATTCCTGCGGGAAGCATCCCTGGAGGGTGCCATCGTTCGGCTGCCGATCGGGGTGCGGCGCGGCGGGCGGCGCGGGAGGCCGCAAAACGGCTGGTCAAGCGCCTGTCCGCGGAGCTGTGGTCGGTGCAAGGGCGCTTGGAGGTCGCAGAGGTTGGGTTCGCTCGCCGCTGGCCGCGAGGCCTCGCAGCGAGTCTGCGCGCTCCTGCCTGCTCCCCTCGCGAAACTGGAAGGGCGGGCTCCCAGCTGGCTGGAGACCCTTCGGCGGAACGTGGCGCTCCACACCACCGCCGAAGGAGTCGACGTTTCTACCGCCAGTGCCTCCGTGCTGTGCCGTGTGCAGCATGGGCCGCGGCTCGAGGTTCTTGGCGTGCCGCGGAGTGGTTTGCGCGCAGGTGGCGCGGAGTCCGTGCCAGGTGCAGGGCGCTGGGAGCCGCTGCCCGAGGCCCCCCATGGTGCTGGGCGTCGCCCGGCCAGCGCGGCATGCTGCGCATCTGCGGCACGGTCGTCTTCTCCAGCGCGGAGTTGGGCCAGGCCGAGGCGGTCACGGAGCTGGAGGGCCCGCATGCCGCTGGCGCCAGGTTTCCCTCTGGCGGGATGCCCCCCCGCCCCCCCCCGCAGAGGGCGGCCCCGTGGGTGTGCAGGCGGCTGCTGATGTGGCGGAGTCCCGCTCGGCCAACGCGAAGGGCGATGAGCTCGCGTGCAGAGCAGCTGCGACGGCCAGCCGCTCCGCTGTCCTGCCTGTCGCTGTCGAGGTCGAGTTTGACGGGCTCGTCTGCGATGCCGAGGGAGTCGGCCTCGGGGGGGCGAGCGACGCGTCGGAAGCCGGTTCGCCAGAGGTTCTGGGCAAGGACGTGCTGCAGGGCGGGGAAGGGCTCAAGGGCGGGGCCGGCGCCAAGCAGAGCGCGCGGTGGGTCGCGCGGAACAGCATAGCACGCGAGTGGCTTGGCGAGCCGCCGGGCGAGATCCACGAGCCCGCGGGCCGCGGCGCGCTGGAGGGGTGCTCGGGGGCGGAAGCCCCGCTCGAGTCGGAGGCCGAGCGGACGTGATGGTCGTCTTGCTGGGGCAGAGGATGTCCATTCTGAAGCCTGCTGCCGACTACCTGGCGGAGCTCGGGCACGAGGTCAGCGAGCTCCGCCTCAGCCCGCTGGGCCCTGAGGCGATCGAGTCGCTCTCGCTGGGCGGGGAGGCGGAGATCGTCGAGGTCGCGGCGCAAGAATGGGGAGAGGGAGAGGCGCTCTTGGAACGCACGGAGCTCGACAGCAAGTCGCGGTGCGCCTCGACGCGCCGGGCGTGCTCGGCGGCGCAGGCCGCGGAGAGGAGGCGCGCGAGGAGTTGGAGACGGCAAAGCAGGAGTTGCTGCGCACCATGGAGCCTCCGCGTCTGAACTGGGTCCGCCGCAGGGTTGCTGCGACGTGGCCGGCTCGCAAGGCGGGGTGTTTCTACCCCCGGGGCGCGGCGAGCTCGATGGCAGCAGCAGGCTCGATGCTGAGTTCGTCGCGCGAGCCGACCGGGAAGACGAGGCCGCGTCGTAGTTGTAGGTGAGCTGCGGGCTTGTGAGCGTTCCTGGGTCGAGGCTGCAGGCGGGCGGTCCGCCTGGCCCTTGCCAGAAGGAGGATCGAGGGCTTTCGGGGTGAAGCT